TATATTTTTTTAATTTGATTTATTTCATCCCCCATTCCCGGTTTCTGTCCCCCATTCCCGGTTTTCAATCCTGGTTTTCATTCCCAGTATTTTCCCCCCATCCCGGCTGTGTTTTCTTTCCCGGTTTCTGTCCCCCATTCCCATTTTTGTCCCCCATTCCGAGTTTTCATTCCCCATCCCGGCTGTGTTTTCATTCCCGCTGTTTGTCCCCCATTCCTGATTTTCATTCCCGATTTTCATTCCCAGTTTTTGTCCCCCATTCCCGGTTTTCATTCCCGTTGTGTTTTCATTCCCAGCTGTGTTTTCATTCCTGTTTTCCATCCCCCATTCCCGTTTTCCATCCCCCATTCCCGTTTTTTGTCCCCTGTTCCCGGTTTCTGTCCCCCATTCCCGCTGTGTTTTCATTCCCCATTCCCGCTGTGTTGTCATTCCCGTTGTCATTCCCCATTCCCGTTTTTTGTCCCCCGTTCCCGGCTGTGTTGTCATTCCCGTGGTGTTTCATTCCCCATTCCCGTTGTCATTCCCCATTCCCATTGTGTTTTCATTCCCCATTCCCGTTTTCATCCCCCATTCCCGGCTGTGTTTTCATTCCCGTTTTCCGTCCCCCATTCCCGTTTTTATTCCCCATTCCCGGCTGTGTTTTCATTCCCCATTCCCGTTTTCATTCCCCATTCCCGTTGTCATTCCCCATTCCCTTTGTCATTCCCCGTTCCCGGCTGTGTTGTCATTCCCGTTGTTATTCCCCATTCCCGTTGTCATTCCCTGTTCCCGGCTGTGTTGTCATTCCCGTTTTTTGTCCCCCATTCCCGGCTGTGTTGTCATTCCTGTTTTTTGTCCCCCATTCCCGGCTGTGTTGTCATTCCCGTGGTGTTGTCATTCCCCGTTCCCGGCTGTGTTGTCATTCCCGTTTTTCATTCCCCATTCCCGTTTTCATTCCCCATTCCCGTTTTTTGTCCCCCCATTCCTGGCTGTGTGGTCATTCCCGGCAGTGTTTTCATTCCCCATTCCCATTGTCATTCCCCGTTCCCGGCTGTGTTGTCATTCCTGTTTTTGTCCCCCATTCCCGTTGTGTTGTCATTCCCGGCTGTGTTGTCATTCCGTTGTCATTCCCCATTCCCGTTGTCATTCCCCATTCCCGTTGTCATTCCCCATTCCCGGCTGTGTTGTCATTCCTGTTTTCATTCCCCATTCCCGTTTTTTGTCCCCCCGTTCCCAGCTGTGTTGTCATTCCCATGGTGTTTTCATTCCCCGTTCCCAGCTGTGTTGTCATTCCCGTTTTTTGTCCCCCATTCCCGGCTGTGTTGTCATTCCCGTTTTCATTCCCCATTCCCGGCTGTGTTTTCATTCCCCATTCCCGTTTTTTGTCCCCCCATCCTGTCTGTGTTGTCATTCCCAGCTGTGTTGTCATTCCCATTTTTTGTCCCCCATCCCGGCTGTGTTTTCATTCCCCATTCCCGTTGTGTTGTCATTCCCGTGGTGTTGTCATTCCCCATTCCCGGCTGTGTTGTCATTCCCCATTCCCGTTTTTTGTCCCCCATTCCCGGCTGTGTTGTCATTCCCGTTGTGTTGTCATTCCCATGGTGTTGTCATTCCCCGTTCCTGGCTGTGTTGTCATTCCCCATTCCCGTTGTGTTGTCATTCCCCATTCCCGTTGTGTTGTCATTCCCGTTTTTGTCCCCCATTCCCGGCTGTGTTGTCATTCCCGTGGTGTTTCATTCCCCATTCCCGTTGTGTTTTCATTTCCCATTCCCGGCTATGTTGTCATTCCCGTTTTTTGTTCCCCATTCCCGGCTGTGTTTTCATTCCCGTTTTCCGTCCCCCATTCCCGTTTTTATTCCCCATTCCCGGCTGTGTTGTCATTCCCCATTCCCGTTTTCATTCCCCATTCCCTTTGTCATTCCCCATTCCCAGCTGTGTTTTCATTCCCCATTCCCAGCTGTGTTGTCATTCCCGTTTTTATTCCCCGTTCCCGGCTGTGTTGTCATTCCCATTGTCATTCCCCATTCCCGTTTTTTGTCCCCCATTCCCAGCTGTGTTGTCATTCCCGTTGTCATTCCCGTGGTGTTGTCATTCCCCGTTCCCGGCTGTGTTGTCATTCCCGTTTTTGTCCCCCATTCCCGTTGTCAGTTGTCATTCCCGTTTTTTGTCCCCCGTTCCCGGCTGTGTTGTCATTCCCCATTCCCGTTGTGTTGTCATTCCCGTTTTTGTCCCCCATTCCCGTTGTGTTGTCATTCCCGTTTTTTGTCCCCCATTCCCGTTTTTTGTCATTCCCCATTCCCGGCTGTGTTGTCATTCCCGTTGTCATTCCCCGTTCCCGGCTGTGTTGTCATTCCCGTTGTCATTCCCGTGGTGTTGTCATTCCCTGTTCCCGTTGTGTTGTCATTCCCGTTTTTTGTCCCCATTCCCGGCTGTGTTGTCATTCCCCATTCCCGTTTTTTGTCCCCATTCCCGGCTGTGTTGTCATTCCCCATTCCC